AAAAAGGGCAACCTTTCCTCTCTTGTCAAGCTAGACCTGTAAAGCGGTGTTATATCCTTACCTCCCACAAGGCCTCAAAGACTTGTCTTCTTTTTCCCCTTCCCAGTGTTGCCCAGCATCAGCAGCTTGTTTCCTCCCCTTACCCCAATGCTGGTCAACAGAGGACCTTACTCCCCTGCTAAGCTTCTCCCCTGATTAGTGGAAGTGTGCTTCTCCCCAAGGAGGACAACAGCAAGTTCCATGGTTGAATAAAAGTATCACTGACCTAGAGCTGTAAGGATTTTCACAGGCTAGTAGTTGGGGCTCCTCTAATCCTAGAAAGCAAGGAGGAAGCAGGAATCCTTGGTGTCAGGCTTGGAGGTAGAACACACCTTTGACAAGAGGTGTGCTAGGACTGAGCTGTACCACTCTACTGAGTGGGAAATAACTCTCCTGCCTATACCTACACTCACTCTGAAAATAACTACCATATACCTAAAACCAAATACAATACTCCATATGTGTTCTAATCAGGGCAAAACATAAAAAAGATGATCTTCTTATTTGTGGAATCCATGTCCTCTTGGTGTAGCTGAAAATTACAACTGCTTTTGTGGCTACTATATCAAAATGTTGAGTCACATTGAGATTGTTGTTCACTAAACACCCAAATCCTTTTCAGGCTGCTATTTAGCCATGCCTCAACCATCTTGTACTTTTGAAGTGGTTTTCTGAACCCACACCTAAGAGCTTATATTAATCTCTACTGAATTCCATTTTATTAGATTAGGACCAATCTTTATCCTGTCAAAATCTTTTTTGAATCCCATGTCCTCCAACTCAAGTAAACAATAATTTATTAAGTGCCTACTATGTGCCAGGCACTATGCCAAGCATGAGGCATACACAAAAAGGTTAAAAAATATTCCTTGCTCCCAGACAACATGAAAAGAAGTACATATAAACAAGATTTTGTTGTTGTTCAGTCATTTCAGGCATGTGTGACTCTTTGTGACCCCCTTTGGGGTTCTCCTGGCAAAAGACACTGGAGTGGTTTGCCATTTCCTTCTTCAGCTCATTTTACAGATGAGGAAACTAAGGCAAACAAGGTTAAGTGACTTGCCCAAGGTCACACAGCTAGTAAGTGCCTGAGACTGGACTTGAATTCAGGGCTTCCTGACTCCAGGCATGATGCTCTATCCACTGTGCAACCTAGCTGCCCTACAAACAAGATTATATATAAAGATTAAACTGGAGATAATCTCAAAGGAAGGCATTAGCATCATAGGAAAATAAGGCAGGCTTCCTACAAAAGGTGCAATTTTATCTGAAATTTAAAGGAAACCAGGAATCCAGCAGGCAGAGATGAAGAGGGACAGCAATACAGGTATGGGGGACATCCAGTGACAATACACAGAATTGGGAGAGTTGTGTCAGGAACATCAAGGAGGCCAGTGTCACTGGATCAGAGTACACGGGAGTGACTAAGGCATAAGAAGATTGAAAATGTAGGGCAAGGCCAGGCTGTGACAGACTTCAAAAGCCAACAGATGACTGAATATTTAATTCTGCAGGAAAGTGGGAGCCACTGGAGTTAAACATATTGGTAACATGGTCAGACCTGTGTTTCAGGAAGATCATTTTGACACAGAAAGAGGCAGCGACACCAACCAGAAACCTATTACAATAGTCCAAGCATGAAGTGGAGAAAGCCTTCACCAGGGCAGGCAGCAGTGGGAATGGAGAAAAGGAGGTATATACAAGAGATATTATGAAGGCAGAACTGACAGAATTGACAGTTCCAGAGGACTAATGATGGAAGATGCTACACCTCCTGATGGAAAGATGAAGACATATACAGTGAGACATTTTTTTTCTGCTACACTCAGCCTCTTTCAGCCAACTAAGAAGCTTTGATGATTCAGAATGACATAATTGCATGATGCCCTTTGCTAGGATTCCTGCTGTTTATTTCTCTGCAGGCTTCAGAGGGGTCTAAGAGCTGGAACTGAGACCCTACTCCTAGTATCTAAGGCTGCTGTGGGTGCTTCTGAACTTGCTTCCCAGTATAAAGCCCAGTGCCTTCCACTGCTCCCTACCCAGGAAAAGCACCAATCCCTCTCAGTGTGCCCTAGAATTGGGACCCAGGACTGGGAGTGGGCAACATCGGCACCTGTTCTGACAACACTGGTACTCTGATACAGTCTAGGAGTTCTTCTTGCTCCAGGGCACAGCTTCCCGTGGGCACTGGAGTGCTCTGCAAACATATTCTTCACTAAACCCTGTTGACAGTGTCTACAGACATCTCTGACTCCTTCAGACAACCTTGACTGGGAAAATGCCACTTTTCCTTGGATTTCCCCATCAGGATTCAGTCTAGCACATTTTGTAGATCTGTTTGGAGAAATTTTGGGGGGAGCTCACTGTATTGTTTCCTGCCACACCATCTTGGGACTGTCTTTCCCAGAGATTTTTTAAAATAATATTTTATTTTATTCCCAATTACATGTAAAAACAATTTTCAGTATTTGTTTTTTTTAATTCTGAGTTCCACATTCCCTCCTTCCATCTCTGAGATGATAAACAATTTAAAACTGTTAAACACACGCAATCATGCAAAACATATTTCTATATTAGCCATGTTGTGAAAGAAAACACAGACAAAAAAATACCATGAGAAAAATAGACAAAGTGAAAAATAGTATGCTTCAACTGGCATTCAGACTCCATCAGTTCTTTCTCAGGAACTGGATAACATTTCATCATAAGTTCTTTGGAACTGTCTTGGATCACTGTATTGCTAAGAATAACTAAGTAATTCTCAGTTAATCATCATACAACATTGCTGTTACTGTATATAATGTTGTATTGGTTCTGCTCACTTCACTTTGCTTCAGTTCATGTAAGACTTTCCAGGTTTTGCTGAAATCATCCAGCTTGTCATTTCTTATAGCACAATAGTATTCCATTACAATCATATACCACAACTTGTTCAGCCATTCTCCAATGATGGGCATCCCCTCAATTTCCAATTCTTCCCCACCATAAAAAGAGCTGCTATAAATATTTTTGTACAACTAGGTCCTCCCCTCCCTGCCTTTTTTAATCTCTTTGGAATACAAACCTAGTAGTGGTATTGCTGGATCAAAAAGTATGCACAATTTTATAGCCCTTTAGGCATAGTTCCAAATTTTTCTCCAAAGCAGCTGGATCAGTTCACAGCTCCACCAACATTGTCTCAATTTTCCCATATCCCTTCCAACATTTATCATTTTTCTTTTCTATCATAATAGCCAATCTGATAGGTGCAATGTGGTACCTCACAGCTGTTTTAATTTGCATTTCTCTAATCAACAGCAATATAGAGCATTTTTTCATATGACTATAGATAGCTTTGATTTCTTCGTCTGAAAACTGCCTGTTCATAATCCTTAACAATTTATCTACTGGTTCCCAGAGACTGTCAATGATCAAATCAGGTCATTGAAACATGCTTTATTTCCATCTCTTAGGTAAATTTCTTAACCTTTGTGACATGAAGCATACTGATAGATCATGCTGTAATATCTCATCTCCATCTCAGAATTTCTATAATTCTACAACACTGTGCTACTTGGTAAATCACTTTACTTAACAGCATTTATTTCTGCCTCAATGGGGACAAAAATTCTAAAAGCAAAAAAATTTTTTTGCATCAGAAGACCTAGATTTCAATCCTAATTTCATATAGGTGTTTTCACACCTATATTACTATTTGTGTAACCATGGGCATTCATTCCTCTAAGGTTTAGTTTGTTCATTTGTAATATGAGGGAGCTTAATTAGATGCTCCCTAAGGTCTCTCTAGCACTTTGATCCAAACAACAAATAGTCCTAGGATGGGTGGAAAAGGAGATTAGAACTCACTGCCTTGTGGCTCTTCTCACACTGATCCTAAGTAGGTAGATGTTCTCTGGCAGCACTGGGCCCAAGTGAAAAAGGATGGCAGAATTCAACCTGAAAGAGACCTTAAAGGCCAACCCATTCTTTTTACAGGTGAGGAAACTGAAGTTGGGAGAGGCTAAATGACCTGCCTTCAACCATACAGCTAATAATAAGTGAGGCAGTTAGAAACAAAAGGGATAAAGAGCTGGACCTGGAGTCTGCAAGACCTAAGTTCAATACTCAAATACTTACAAGCTGTGTGACCCTGGGCAAGTCACTTAACCTTCATCTACTTCAATTTCTTCATCTGTAAAATGAGAATAATAATAGCACCTGCTTCCCAGGGTTATTGTGAGAATAAAATGAGGCAATATTTGTAAAGAAAATGCTTTGCAAACACTGAAGTACTATATACATGTGAGCTTTTATTATTATCTTGTTGACCTAGCTTCCCACTCTGGCTCAACCCATTCTAGCTTCTCTCTTCTTCAGTACTTCAGCACTACCTCCCTTGTTATCATGAGTCCACATGGCTTATAACGGAAACAAAACCTACATCTTGCTTTGAGTTGTAAAGATATGAAGTGTACCAGAAAGCATAAATAAATGTACTTTTTGTAAGAAAATCTGATTAGAAGTTGAGTCATCCTAAGGTTCTAAACCGTGATTTAAAATAAATGAACCTTAATCACAAAAAGTAAACACAAATTAATAGGGCAATAGAAATACCTAAAGACTACAGATATAGGTATAATACGGCTGAGCAAATTACTAAGAGACTGTGTAGGGGTACAGTCAGCTGGTTAACAAAATAGGACAAATGAAAGCAACAATTTTTATTAAGCATCCACCATGCAACATGGACAGGAATTTTCAAAGGCAATTTTTGGGGCAGAGATAAAGTGTTCCCCAAAGGCATTTCAGCCTAACAAATAAATCTAAGTACTTCATATTCTCATGTATCTTTCATTCAGTGCCATTTCAGGGAGGAAAAAAATTCCACCTTCAAAATCAATTACAACATAAAATAATCAGACAAACTGAAATATATATCACACTCCAAAATAAAAACAAATATATTTTGAAGTATTACTTACTCTGAGTTGCCACAAGATCCAGGGCAGTATTAGTGACACTTTGCATTCCAGCAACAATATAAGCCTCACAGTTTTTCAGGTTGCTGAGAGCATTGTCCACATTGTTGACGAAAATCCAAGGAAAATCATTCCGAATTCTCTGGCATCCTGAAATTGTTACCTGTATTTTAAAAAAAAATGTTTATGTGTGTGTGTATATACATACATACATATATGTGTGTGTGTGTATGTATGTGTGTGTGTATCTCTTTAAGAAATAAAGTATTGAATACACAAAGAGGAAAAAATGCCTAAATGAATGCATGTGAAGCCCTAACACTTCCCATATTAAGAAATACTAGAGAGCAAGCATTAACTGAGCACATACTAAATGCCAGACACTAAGCTAGGCCTGTACAACATACAGTCCGGGGCCCGACTGCAACCCACCTAAGGATTTCCGGCAGTCAGAGAAAAATGTAGAGGATGTAAAAGAAAATAAAGATGTAACAAGTGCTTTATTCATGTCTTGATTAACCCACCTTCCACTAGTTACTATATTGCGCATCATCTAACTCGGCAGGTGAGTTGCCACTATACACTCTCTACTACGTGTCTCATTAGTCTGTCTCTAGTCTGAGAGGTTCGAGAGTCATATCTTTTCACTGTGTTTTCAGTTGTTACTAAACGTAAACAGTAAGAAAACCTGAAAAATGTATTAAAACTTGTACCGCTTAGCAAAATAATGTTTTAATGTTAATGTGATTTCATGATACATAAAAACCTTAAGTAACAAGTGTAATTAATTGATATTAATTGAAATTTCTACTTTTTTAAAATACAGTTTATTTGCAAAATAGTTTAATCATTAATTATACCTTTACTTAGAAAGTGAGCCGCTAAAACCCTATCTTCCGCCAAAAGAAGTTTAGCTTATTTTAATTTTGGCCCCTTTCTACTGCCACGTTGTGCAGGTATGCGCTAAGCTAAGCCTTAGAAATGCAAAGAGCACATTGTGATGGGGAATACAACAGGCAAATTATGTACATACAAAATATATCCAATGTAAATTAGAGGGAATCTCAGAGGGAAGGCATCAGCAAAGGGGAGGGGGTACATGGAAAGTCCTCTTGCAGAAGGTGTGGTTTCAAGAAATTCTGGAGTACATTCCAGGCACGAGGAACAATGAGTAAAAAGGCATGGAACCTGGAGATAAAGTGCCCTATGGGATGACTAGTGAGAAAGCCAGTGTCACTGGATCAGATACACGGAGGAGAGTAAAGTGTAAGAAGACTGGAAAGGCAGGAAGGGGCCAGTTTATGAAAGGCTTTTAAAGACAAACAAGGCATTTTATACTTGATCCTGGAGAAAAGAGGGAGCCACTGGAGTGTATTAAGTAAGGTGACATGACCAGGCCTTCTCTTTAGGAAGATCACTTTAGTAAGGGAGTGGGAAGATGAGCTGCAGTGGGAAGAGTTTTGAAGCAGAGACCAAGCAGAAAGCTAAAGTCCATAAAGAAAGGGGTAAGGGCCTGTACAGAGTGGCAGCTATGTGAGTAAACAGAAGGGAAAGTATAGAAGAGATGCTGTGAAGGTAGAAAAGACAAGACTTGGCAAAAGATTAGACACGTTTGGTGAATACAACTAAGGTGTCAAGAATGACACCAAAACTGCATGTCTGGGTGACTAAGAAGATAAAATAATTTTAATTAAAATAAAGAAATTTAATAATGAAAAATAAAATACTTTGCTTGTTTTGTTCCTCCATCTAATCTCTTTTCCATCTGTATAAAGTTTTGTCGTTGTCATTTCAAAATATGGTCAGAGTCAACGTTTATGTTCAATACAACAAACATTAGAGATTCAACTAGCCCTGGACAGCTAGGTGGCACAGTGGATAGAGTGCTGGTCCTGGAGTCAGGAAGAAATGAGTTCAAATTCAGCCTCCAACATTTAACTAGCTGTGTGACCCTGGGCAAGTCACTTAACCCTGTTTATCTCAGTTTCCTCATCTTAAAATGAGTTGGAGAAGGAAATGGCAAACCACTTCAGTATCTTTGCCAAGAAAACCACAAATTGTCATCAATAGTTGGACATGACTGAAACACAATAACTAACCCTAACTCCCATTTAATAAACTCCAGTGGCACCCTATTACCTCTGGGTCAAATCTTAAGGTACTTTGTTTGGCTTTACCTCACAACCTAGCTCTATCCCTATCTTACACAGTACTAAGATCTAAGATCCAGGAAAACCATCCTTCTTGCTGTTCATCACAACACTCCATCTCCCAACCCTGTGTCCCCATTCCTGAAATGTTCTTTCTCACCCCCACCTCCTAGCTTCCAAAGCTTCTTTAAAGACTCATCTTAAAAAAAAAAAAAGACTCATCTTAAATCTCACTTTCTAAAAGAGGCCTTTCCCCAGCCTTCCCACACTCCACACCACCTCCCACTGCTAGTGCCTTCTCTCTGAGATTACCTCTCATTTACACAGCTTATACCTTTTACATACAGAATTGTTTTTTGGGGGGTTTTTTGGTTTGGTTTTTTTTTTTTTTTGCTTTTAGGCAATTGGGGTTAAGTGACTTGCCCAGGGTCACACAGCTAGGATATGTCAAGTGTTCGGTCTGAGGCCGGATTTGAACTCAGGTCCTCCTGACTTCAGGGCCGGTGCTCTATCCACTGCACCACCTAGCTGCCCCCCAGAATTGTTTATATGTTGTCCCCAACCCCCATTAGAATGTGAGGTCATTGAGGACAGGGAACAGTTTGATTTCTTTTCCCCTCTTCATCCATAGCAATTAGCACAGGGCCTGGCACACAGTAAGTGCTAAATACATGCTTCATTATATGCCATATATAAACAGAAATCTATTAAATTTTCTATTACACAGTGACATGTTTCCATCTCCTACAAGATAAGCTTTTTAAAGGTATTCTATTTTTTATTTATTTTTAGCTTTCAACATTCATTTTTATAAGATTTTGAGTTCTAAATTCTTCCCCTCCCTACCATCCCCCATCCCCAAGATGGTATGTTATCTGATATAGGCTGTACATGTACAATCATATTAAACATATTTGCACATCAGTCATGTTGTAAAGAAGAATCAGAACCAAAGGGGAAAATCACAAGACAGAAAAAAAAAAGAGAGCAAATAGTATGCTTCAATCTGCATTGACTCCACAATTCTTTCTCTGGATGTGGATAGCATTTTCTATCTTTAGTCTTGGAATTGTCTTAGATCATTGCATTGCTGAGGGTTAAATCTATCAACACTGGTCATCTCACAATGTTGCTGTTATTGTAAATAATGTTCTCCTGGTTATGCTCACTTCATTCAGCATCAGTTCATGTAGGTCTTTACAGGTTTTTCCGAAATCTGCCTGCTCATCATTTCTTATGGAACAATAGTATTCCATTACCACAACTTGTTCAGCCACTCCCCAGTTGATGGGCAGCCCCTTGATTTTCAATTCTTGGCTACCGCAAAAAGAGCTGCTGAAAATATTTTTGTACATGTGTGTCCTTTTCCCATTTTTACGATCTTTTTGGGATACAGACCTAGAAGCGCTATTGCTGGATCAAAGGGTGTGCAGTCCTTGGGACATAGTTCCAAATTGCTCTCCAGAATGGCTGGATCAATTCACAACTCCAACAATGCCTTAGTGTTACAAATTTCCCACATTTTCTTCAACATTTATCATTTTCCTGCTTTGTCACATTAACCAATCTGATAGGTATAATGTGATACCTCAAGAGTTGTTTTAATTTGCATTTCTCTAATCAATAGTGATTTAGAGCATTTTTTCATATGACTATAGATAGCTTTAATTTCTTCCTCTGAAAACTACCTGTTCATATCCTTTGACTATTTGTCAATTGGGGAATGACTTGTATTCTTATAAATTTGACTCAGTTCTCTACATATTTTAGAAATGAGGCCTTTATCAGAGACACTGGCATAAATATTTTTTTCCCAGCTTTCTGTTTCCCTTCTAATCTTGGGTGCATTGGCTTTCCTTGTGCAAAAACTTTTTAATTTAATGTAACCAAAATTATCCATTTTTCATTTTATAATGTTCTCTATCTCTTGTTTGGTCATAAATTCTTCCATTCTCCATACATCTGACAGGTAAATTATTCCTTGCTCTTCTAATCTGCTTACAGTATCACTCTTTATGTGTAAATCATGTACCCATTTTGACCTTATCTTGGTATATGGTGTAAGATGTAGGTCTATGCCTAGTTTCTGCCATTCTATTTTTCAGTTTTCACCAGTTTTTGTCAAATAGTGAGCTCTTATCCCTTCCAACACATCCATTTTACAGATGAAAACACAGAAGTTTAATAATATGCCTTAGGACACAGAGGCAAGAGCAATTGGTAGAGCTGAAATTTAAACCTAAGTCCTTTGATTCTACACTCCCAATCCTTCTACTACATGTTCTATCTCACCCAGTGTCAAGTCAGTAAGTCAAGTCAACGAACATTCATTTAGGAAGCATTTATTAAGCACACACTAGTTGTCAGGCACTGTGCTAAACAACGGAGATACAAAGTTAGTCAGTTGATAAACACTTATTAAGTACCTACTATGTGCCAGTTACTTTCCTAAATGCTGGGGACACAAAAAGTGGCAAAAGACAATCTACCCTCAAGGAGCTCATAATCTAATGGGAGAGATATGTACAAGCAAGACATATACAGGATAAATAGGAAATCATTAAAAGAAGGAAAGCACTATAAATTAAGAGAAGTTGGGCAAAACTTCCCATAGAAAATGGGATTTTAGTTGGGACTTGAAGGAAGCCATGGAAGCTAGTTGGAAGAGATGAGAAGAGCACTCTAGGCTTAGGGAGAGTCAAAAAAAGGCCTAGAACCAAAAGATGAAATGTCTTTATCATGAAATAGCCAGGAGGCCAGTCTATCAAAGAGCATGTGTTGGAGAGTAATTGTAAGAAGACTGGAAAAGGAAAGGGAGGTTATGAATGCCAAACGGAGCACTTGTAATTGATCCTGGAAGTGAGAAGGAGTCACTGCAGTTTAATGAATAAGGTGTTGACAAGGTTGGACCTGTGCTTTAGGAAAATCACTTTAGTGGCTAAACAGAGGATAAATTAGACTGGGAGAGAGACTTGAGGCATGCAGATTCACCTGTGGAC